AGTTGATGCAAAGAAGTGTTTCTACGTAAAGTCTATCCATAGAGTTAAGATACCTAAAAGTATTTTCATACTTTCATGTAATTCTTTATATATATAGATATATATATATTAAATATATCATTAACTATATTAAATATAGTTATATATATATAATTATATTAATAATAGTTTGCACTTATATATAGTGTAACATTTATCTGCTGTAGTTTGGCAGTACTCGTCATTTGGACACGAAGTGGTTTGGGGGGATTTGCCTGTGAGCCGGCATGTGACGCTAATTCGTTTTTCCCTTAGCAACTCAACTGGAAAATTTCCAGCCACCTGCTGTTTCCTGCACACACAGGCAGCCACAGTTTGGAGTTTGCGTAATGTACGTACACAGGGTTCTGTCACCAACTTAGAGCATTCAGGTCAGATGGAGATACACAAAAGTGCAGTTGTCGCGGTTTAATTAGCAGGTGTCGATGTGTGACTATCGTTGCGGATGATGACGTATTCTTCTGAGTCGTGACGTCGTGACCCGAAACGTCATCGGTAAGGTCATCCAATAAACCAACGATTCTAAAATTCCTACGCAAGTGAATACGACAATCAGGTTAATATATGTCTGAGAAATCAATGTAGTATTGTACGAAATTCATTTCTAGCTATTTATGATATCTATTATAGCTATCTTACTTTATGCCATAAAGTTAAGATCTATATTTACATTTAGAAATATTACAAAGTGCGATTACGGTCACATGTAAGTAACCCTGTTTCAAATTCATAGCAGCCAACATAATACATAATATAATAATATATTAATATAATATAGGCCCCTATATAATAATATAAACATAATATATTATATATGGTGTGACAAGCTCTGACACCCATCCGCGAATATTTTATCTCATTTGCACGTGGTGATTATTCCAAAATGAGAACCGGATTATATATAATTAAAAAGTGTACAAGATGAAATACAATATGTAATATATAGTATAAACACTGTTACAGTGTTATACCCCTGTCACACCTACCCGCGATCACGCTCGCGCTCCCACTGTGACCTGAAAAGTATGAAAGCGCGAGGAAAAGCGCAGTAAGGTCTCTGAGAACGAGTTGGTGACGCAGTGGAAACTGTCAAGGACGGAAGAGGGTCGCCATGAGCTACCTTAAGCGCCAAACCTCGGCGCTTGTGTTGTCTCGAATCAATACAAGCGCAGCGGGTCGGCGCTCTGTAATGAGAGGTGTAATGACGCAGTACAGTCGCCGTAGCAGCGCAAAGCGAACTACATGAGCGTATCGTGGACGTAGCAACAACGCATAGAAGCGACTTGGGGTCGCAGAAATCGTCTCCTGCGACTGGTTTGCGACTGCTGTACGCTCATTGGGCTCTCCATGCGTGCCTCTCCCGGTCTTATTGCGCCGTTACTGCGCTTCCACTGCGCTTTATGGGCTTGTTTCCGCTCATTCTACGTCCACACTGCGCTGCCACTGAGACTATGACGCTCGTAATACGTCCAAGGCGTTGTTCCCACGTTTGCAATAGGCTCACGGTGCGTTCTTATTACGATCCCACTTCCACTGACCCCCCCCCCCACACACACACATTTTTGTATAAATACAGCTTCATCTTCTATACACAATCAGTGGCATTTGCTCTTCCCATGGCCGCAGACAGGTCACAGGCACAATGTGCTATTTGTACTACAGTTAGCACATATGCAGGCACAAGATGACCAGGCCCTTGTCAACATCATGAGAAGGAGAAGAAGGAGGAGGGAAAGAAGGGAGAGGAGATGCTGGGTTTGACCATGGTTAGACGTGGGGAGAAGAGTTCAGTTTGGCCACTATCACTGCCTAATGGCCGCGCTACGACACGAAGATCCTGCATCCTTCTTTAACTTCCTGAGAGTACAACCAAGGATGTTTGATGAGCTCCTAGCAAGACTTGGTCCAAGATGCACCAAACAAGACACCATGTATAGGAAGACTATGGAACCAGGGTTGAAGATTGCAATTACTATGTGCCACCTAGCAACCGGTGACAAGTACGCCAGTATGAAGTTTGACTTCAGAGTTCCTTATAACACCATGTCTGTCCTAGTACGAGACGTCTGCCAGGCCATCGTAAATAAGTACAAGGAGGAAGTCATCAGCTGTCCAATCTCCCCTGAAGAAGGGCGTGTCGTTGCTGAAACGTTTGCACGTAGATGGAACGTCCCTCATGCTTGCGGAGCCCTTGATGGAAAACATGTTGCCTGCAGAAAGCCAGCGAACAGTGGAAGCCTTTATCACAACTATAAAGGCTTCTTTTCCATTGTTCTAATGGGCCTCGTCGATGCGAACTATAAGTTCCTCTGGATAGATGTTGGAGGGCACGGATACATGTCAGATGCACAGATCTTCAATGATTCAGAGCTGAAGGAGTGCCTAGTAGATGGGACCATTTGTCTTCCTCCAGCAGACTCCCTACCAAATGACGACAGGGACATGCCATATTTCTTCCTGACTGATGATGCGTTCGCGATGCGGACCAACATGATGAAGCCTTACTCGATGCGCAAGATGACCAAAGAGCCAAGGATCTACAACTACAGGATATCTAGAGAGCGTCGCGTTGTGGAGAACGCTTTTGGCATCCTTGCACAACGTTGGCAGATTCTCCTGACCACCATGCAGCATGAACCTGACTCCATACGACTGATCGTCGAAGCCTGCGTCTGTCTTCATAATTTGATGAGACTGCGTTATCCTACCATTCAGAATGCTGCCTTGGATGCGGGGGATGTCAACCAGCAACTGATCCCAGGTGCTTGGAGGGCCGATGCAAACATGCATGAGGTGAACAACATTAGAGGGAACAACCGTGACACCACTGCAGCCAAGAAACAACGAGAATACCTCAAGCTGTACTTCAATTCACCTGCAGGCTTTGTGCCCTGGCAAGATAGCATGATATAAAAAGTCAGTTACAAAAAATACAGTTCAAAAGTTCACAAGTACACAGTACACAATATTGTATGTTTGAAATAAATATGGTCATGTAAAAATAAATAAATTTTGTTCTGTTTCTTTTATGCATAATGCCTTGCTTAAATAAAGTTATATTAACTTAAACTTAAACAAAAAAATCCCAATTCCCCAAACATAAAAGTCAGACGTCCCCAAACCTGCAAAATAAAATAAGATCCAGTATAACTCTGATATTGATTTGACAAAATAGTAGTTATATTTTGGCTCTAATTTTATTTTATAATAAAAAAACATTCTTTGTATAATTTAATATTGATAGAAGTGTGATGATTGTTTATGAAACTGGTTGCCCGGAGGCAAAAGTCACTTGCCATAAAAACATAAAGAAATACATGAGATTTTTTTCTAATATGAATTTAAATGGTAAATAACGTAAATGAAGGTCCAAATAGTAAACATCCAGCATTTCAATTAACGGCACGGTAGAAAGTTGAACAGCTGATACGAGTTTGTATACAAAATATATTCATGTTATGACACAGCAGTGACAGCACGCTGTTTGTTTTACTTTTTTTACTTTTTTAAGTGTCAGTTTATTATCAAAACCCACCACACTCTCACAATGGAATAATAAAATATGTTCAAGTTTATTTGGGGCTGGATCATAAGCGCAGAGAATATAGCGGTACATGCATGCAGATACAGAGTGTCCACTGACAGCGCAGTATATACAGTGTATCTGTTTTTGTGTAATTCAGCAGTAATCATTGCTCACAGGCTGCAGTAGAGGGGCAAACATTTGAGGTAGCTGATCACGACCACGCCTGGCTTGGGGACCGGGTTTATAATGGTTTATAATGGATATATGGTTATTACGGTTATATGGGTTGGCATTGTTTTTAATTCAAATCTCGTTGCAGCAAGGCAGCTTATGTCTGCGCAAATCATTATTATGTCATTATGTCTGTGCAAAACAATGCAAGGAACGGATGGAAACATAAAAATATCATTATGTCTAGACATTCAATAAAGGAAACCTTACTTGCCCGAGCGGGTAAGTGCAATTTCAAAAAAGTAAAATAGGACAACACGTATTTCAAGTTTGCATCTAACAATAAATGGATGCCTTTATTTTGAACAATATCCTCAATAAAACATGATGAGCAAACTGTCTCTGACACGTACACTGGAAATTAAACTGTCTCTGACACGTACACTGGAAATTAAACTGTCTCTGACACGTACACTGGAAATTAAACTGTCTCTGACACGTACACTGGAAATTAATAAACTGTATCTGACACACAGACAACTGTCTCTTGAACACACACTGGCTGTCTCTGGTACACTAGTTATCCTTGTTCCTGTTGTTGTTTTTGCTGTTGTTGTTGTTGTTGTTGTTGTTGTTGTTGTTGTTGTTGTTGTTGTTGTTGTCATCTGAAGGTGGGTGATCCTTAATTGTTAGAATCTGCGCTGGCCAGCCTCTCAATAAATGAACTGCTGAAAGGAGTGATGTCACTGGCCTCTGGAATGATGCTCAGATTGAAAGACCAATCGCCGGCTTGCGCAGGAGTGCTGGTAGAGGCCGAGGTGGAGATGGCTGAGGGGTTCCGGCGGATAACACTGCCAGCTTAAATCGTCATCGTCGGAGAGGGCCTGGGCTGCAGTGTTGTCAGCTCAGGGGGCTGTGGCTGGCGCTGTAACCAGCCTGCTGCTGCTGCTGGATCACGCCTGCATGTTGGGCTGCGGCTGCTGAGTTGATTTCATCACTCATGTCCAGGTATCTGTACAGCAGCTGAGTGTGGTCGACCTGGAAGCGGCGCCATAGAGAAGGATCCAGGTCCTCCATCACAGACTTTGTCCAGTCTGCATAAGTGGTTCTCTGGGTGACGCGGACCGGTGGCTTGAGCATTTCCAGCATCTGCTGCTGCAAATCCAGAGACTGCTGCCCCCTCTCTGTGATGCCAGCCAGCAGCAAGTCCAAGATGATGGGTACATCAGAAGTCCCCGCAGTGGACGGCTGGACCGGCTGGACCTCCTCCACGTCATCATCCCCAGCTTCCCTGGCCTCTTCAGTATCCCACGCATATCCGAGAGCAGCAGCCGCCGCAGCTGCCTTAATCTACAAAGACAAAAGCAAAGAAGAAGGTAAGTAAAAGGTAATTAAGTACAATTTCATATACATTTATAGAATTATTTCACAACTTTACAATTTTTACAATTTTTACAATTTTTCAATTTTACGATAACCTGAAAATGATATTTAATTGTTGACTTACACTGACCACTGTGCGACGCTGTACTTCATAGATATGTGTCTTCAGGAAAGAAAACCGCGTCAACACCCACTGGTCGCGCTCAGTCAGCTCCGTCGCTCCTTGACCTGACTTCTTCTTCAGAAGGCGGCCGTACCTCGTCCTGAGAGACCTGTACCAAATCGGCAAGATTTCGTTGGTCTTCCCCATCTCTGCCGCCTTGTCATCCCACATCTTATCCTTCCTTTGCTTGTCCTTATAGCTGCTCATCTTCTTGTTGTACAGGCATTCATTCTCCTGTATCCACTCAGCCATGGCTTCCTCCTCTGCCAGAGTGAGATCCGTCATCTTCTTGGCCTTCTTGGCTTTGGGAAGATGGCTGGCATCTCTAGAGGCTGACTCAGCTGCGCTACTACTCTCCTCTGGTGGATCTTCTTCATGGCAGTTGTCAGCAGGCTCAGGAACAGGCTCAGGAGCAGGCTCAGATGGAACAGGACTGGACGAGCGTGGAGACGATGGAGATGGCCTTCCTCGACCCCTGCTTCTTCTTTTTGGCATGGTGCATACAGCGGCTGAATGTAGACTGATCCTGAAGGTCGCAGGAGGATCTATATATACACGCCGCGCACGCGCAGTGAGCGAGTTGCAAACGTATTGAGAGCGTAGTAAGGCTCAAGGGTTCGTTGTCGTATCACGTACTACAGATATGTACCCGATCGAGGTACATATATGTATACACAAAGAGTACCAGACTTGTACTACAGAATTTAAGTGAACCCTAACGCTAACACTAACCCTAACCCTAACCCTAACTCTAAACATACCTCATATAAAAATATAAACATAATACTAATTAAACAACCTAAAACTACCTCGGGCACATATCTGTAGTACCTGATACGACAACGACCCCATCTGCCGTAGTAAGAGCGCAGCGAGAGCTACTTGGACGCACTGCGAACGCACAGAGCGCAGTGGGAGCGCACTGAGCGCAGTGTGAGCGCATTGAGAGCGCACTGAAGATCAAACTGGGAACGCATAGGGTCGCAGTGAGAGCGTAATAATTAGCGAGTCAAGAGCGTACTGTAAGCTGTACTGTAAGCTACTACTGTACAAGAGCTAGTACAAGTACGAGTACAAGTAGTCTACTGTAAGCTACTACTGTACTTAGTACTACCTGGTGTCATGGATTTAACAATTTTCGGCGACGTCACTGCGCTTTAATTGGTAAAACAAAATTCAAAGTCCGGGAGCGGAACGCGGTCGCCGGGTATAGGGTACAACCTGTAGGTGTGACAGGGGTATTAGACACTAATAATTCGCATACACTTCCCTCGAAATAAATAATCGATTGTTGTAACACGCAGACGAACGCGCTAACCTAGCGGAAGTTTTTCGTGCCCGCATAGTATGACCATATATGGTAATACTGCAGTGACAGTCGCGGTGCGCTGCTACGATTGGCTGAAAACCTAGTGTTCGGAAACGGGCTCAGCTCGCCGCACACAGGAAAGTGAGTCAACGACAACTCGACAACTTAAAATCCTCTACTTGTGCCCAACCCAAGTCAGTCGCAGTCGGGAATCCGCAACGTGTCAGTTCACTGTTTAGACATCTTGTAAGTATATTTCAGTGTCTCTTAGTAGTATCATTGGCAGGTTTTGTCATGAAATGTCATGAATGTTATGTCTATTTTGTATGACTACGTTACGTACACTACTGCAGCCGTACAATTCGTTGCTAGCAACGCGAGCTGCTTTCCAACCACCTGTGAATTTTTAGTCTGTGGTTTTAGAACTAAATAAGCGTATATATCATTTCCAGCCTTAATTCTACCAGCAAATATGTGTGACGACGAAGTAGCAGCTCTTGTTGTGGACAATGGCTCCGGAATGTGCAAGGCGGGTTTCGCCGGTGACGACGCCCCTCGTGCCGTCTTCCCCTCCATCGTTGGGAGGCCGCGTCACCAGGTATACACTAGCCTCTAGGCTTATAGTCGTGCATTTGCAAAGCTAGTTGTTAAAACGCTGCTTTACACTATATACTTGTCAGCACGTTATGTTATACGTTTGTTTGAGTTTCAGCTGGCAGCTAGTCTGCCTTGATTGAACCTGTATTATTAGCAATATTAATTTTTAATTTTTAATATGACGTACTTATATAATATTATGCCGTTATTCCTCAGGGTGTCATGGTTGGCATGGGACAAAAGGACAGCTATGTGGGTGATGAAGCTCAGAGCAAAAGAGGAATTCTGACGCTAAAGTACCCCATTGAACACGGAATTGTCACCAACTGGGACGATATGGAGAAGATCTGGCACCACACCTTCTACAATGAACTGCGTGTTGCCCCAGAGGAGCACCCAGTCCTGTTGACTGAGGCCCCACTGAACCCCAAGGCTAACAGGGAAAAGATGACACAGGTTGGTAAATTTAAATACCCAGATTGTGTAAACAAATGGTTGTTTCCATACCTAAGAACTTGTCGGAAATATTGAATGAAACCAAGTATTAATTAAACGAGTGTCAATCCCTATATATATTCAATGTGATGAATGGTTAATTAGTGGTAAGTGTACAAGGAACCATTTTTTATATGTACTACCTTTTTATTGTGCATTAAGCTTTTCTTTCAAAATCTGTCATCTTCAATTTTATAAATTTATAGACTATAACAGCTTCACTTTTCTAGGCTACTGTGTTCTATACACATTTTTCGACTGCTTAATTTTAAATCCAAGATTTCGTCTATTGCATTAATGAAGTGGAGTATATTATCATGTTTTTACTTTTTGCAGATCATGTTTGAGACATTCAACACCCCAGCCATGTACGTCGCCATCCAGGCTGTCCTGTCTCTGTACGCTTCCGGCCGTACCACTGGTATCGTGCTGGACTCTGGTGATGGTGTCAGCCACACCGTCCCCATCTACGAGGGTTACGCTCTGCCCCATGCCATCATCCGTCTGGACTTGGCTGGCCGCGATCTGACTGACTACTTGATGAAGATCCTCACCGAGCGTGGCTACAGTTTCACGACCACCGGTGTGTAGTCTTAGGTTTCATTGTCATTGGTGAAATGTCCGCCGCCGCCCTATATGCAAACGGGAAATGCACAGTGCAGCAAGTTTTTAATTTTGGCAGTATCAATGACGGTTAATAATTTTATTCCTTTTGCCGCATGTAGCCGAGAGAGAAATCGTGCGTGACATCAAGGAGAAGCTGTGCTACGTCGCCCTGGACTTCGAGCAGGAGATGGCCACGGCTGCTGCCTCCTCCTCCCTGGAGAAGAGCTACGAGCTTCCCGACGGACAGGTCATCACCATCGGCAACGAGAGGTTCCGTTGCCCAGAGGCCCTCTTCCAGCCATCCTTCTTGGGTGGGTAGTGTTTCTCATGTTGTCTGATATTTTAGGGTTCAACAAAAAGCATTTTTGTATTATTTCCTAATAAGCATTTCCAATGTGGATATCTCTGTAGAGCAAGTTTATCATTGTGAGTTGTTAAAATTTGATTTTTATTGCTTTTTCTGTCAACTAATCTAGACAAATCTTTGTCTGCAGGAATGGAATCCACTGGTATCCATGAGGCTGCCTATAACTCCATCATGAAGTGCGACATTGATATCCGTAAGGATCTGTACGCCAACACTGTCCTGTCTGGTGGCACCACCATGTACCCAGGTATTGCTGACAGAATGCAGAAGGAGATCACAGCCCTTGCCCCAAGCACGATGAAGATCAAGATCATTGCCCCACCAGAGAGGAAGTACTCCGTATGGATCGGTGGCTCCATCCTGGCTTCCCTGTCCACCTTCCAGCAGATGTGGATCAGCAAGCAGGAGTACGATGAGTCCGGCCCGTCCATCGTCCACCGCAAGTGCTTCTAAGCGCTTCATCTCTCACTGTCATTCCTGTTTCCACTGCTGCTGGTCTTCTGTACCAGGCTCTACCACGTGCTTGTGCAAGCAGAGCACTTGGGCTGTGTTTGGCATTTGCATATGTTGAACTGTAATATATTGAATGATTCGTGGATTGCGCCGGGTGGGAGGGAGGGCAGCAGTTGGATTATGTTTGCATTTATGGATGTAACATTTTGCTTGTGTCAGCAGTGTATTATTTCATGTGTATGTTGTATTATAACTACTAGGTCTCTACTATGTGAACTCACTCCGCGGCCGCGTTTGCGCTTATTGATATTTTGTATAAATTGTACTGATGCTAACAAACTGCAGTTTTCTAAATAAAAAATAGAAAACTATGCAAGTGTTTGTTTTATGTTTTCTACAGAATATTTACCACACTGTATAATATTGTAACACCATTTTGAGCATCTTGAAATTCATGTTACACGAGAGCTAATTAAATGCTACAACATAGCTGTCTAAAATATCATCAACTCAAATGTACAAATACTAAAAACAACATTCATTGGTTTGTCGTTCATAAATTGGCAGTGATAACTGTATAAAACAGAATGTCGTATGAACGTGTTCTGCTACGTATTTTACAGTTGATGCAAAGAAGTGTTTCTACGTAAAGTCTATCCATAGAGTTAAGATACCTAAAAGTATTTTCATACTTTCATGTAATTCTTTATATATATATATATATATATATATTTCTATGTATATATAAATATATATATATATTTCTATGTATATATATATCTACTTATAAAATTATGGTCATATCTTTGTTTGCGATGTTTTTGTACCGAAAGGTGTCGCTTTTGTCTATGACAGCGCCGTAGATACAGCCACCATAGACTGTATATAGTCCACATGTGCTCTCACCCTGTGCAGTTGTTGAGTTGCAGATTTCCACACACTTCCTCTAATACCATAAACAGACGCACGAGGAAGCGAGAGAGAGAGAGAGAGAGAACGTCAGAAAGAGAGGGATATATATATATATAAATCTCTCTCTATATATATATATATAGAGAGAGAGAGAGCAAGACAATAGCAGAGCAGAGAGAGAGAGACGAAGAGAGAGCAGAGCGAGAGAAGAAGAGAGAGAACTAAGAGAGAGCAGAGAGAGAGAGAGCCGAGAGAGAGAAGAGAGCCGCGCGCGCGCAGAGCCGCGAGAGAAGAAGAGGCAGAGCCGAGATAAGAAGGCGAGAGAAAGCAAAGAGCAGACGAGAGCGCGCGCTAAGAGATGCGAGTAGAGAGAGAGCGAAAGAAGAGTTCGAGAAGGAGAGATGATGCGCGCGCGTCGCCAGAAGCAGTTGAGAGAGGCGAAAGAGAGGGTCGAGAGGGAGCAGAGAAGAGCGCGCCGCGCTGCGCGCGCGCGTGTGTGTTGTGTTGAATTTGTTGGTTGGTTGGGTTTTGTTGGTGTGTGTGGGTGTGTGTGATGTGCGTGTGTGTGTGTGGTGTGTGTGTGTAGACGATGAGCTGTGTGAGATGATCGAGAGACGCAGATGAGAAGAAGAGAGACAGATAGAAGAATGCGAAAGAGAGAGGGATGAAGAGACAAAGAGGCATCTGAACAGACGTCTGATTAGCTGCTGCTTCCGTACGATTGTGATCTTCAGCCAGCGTTATGTCACGGCTCCTGACTTACGGCAACAAACCTCGGTGCTGTCGCGACCACGTGTGGCACCCGGCCACATGGCGCACATGCTGAGACCGCAACCGTCTAAAACTAGCCTGCCCGTATTGGATGGCGCATCCATGCGGCTGTCCCCTAAATCGGATCTCTGCTTATTATATCCGATTATTAACTCTTCACAGCAAAACTTGCTAAAACTCAACACACGCACGCTCGTCCAACATAATAAGCACGCAAAATGGATAAGCAGATAGCCAGATACCGTTAGATAGAGAAGAGCAGAGAGAGAAGAGAGAGAGCAGAGAAGAGAGAGAGGAGAGAGAGAGAGAGAGAGAGAGAGATTACAGAGCGGGGAAAAACATGTGTGCGTGTGTGTGACATAGAGAGAGCGAGAGAGATTGAGAGAGAGAGAGAAAGAACGCGGCGCGCTGCTCGCCGCCGAGAGAGAGAGAGAGAGTAGAGAGAGAAAGAGAGAGGAAGAGAGAAGAGAGAGAGAGGAGATGGAGAGAGAGAGAGAGAGAGAGAGAGAAAGAATAAAGCGAGATGTGTCGTGGTAGCTGACATAGAGAGAGAAGAACGAGAGAGCAGAGAGAGAGAGAGAGGAAGAGAGAGAAGGAGAAAAGACAGAAAGAGCCGAGAGAGAGAGAAAGTTGCCAGAGAGAGAGAGAGAGAGCAGCAGATAGAGAGAGAGAGAGAAAAAGAGCGCGATGACGAGAAGAAGAGAGCAGAAGTGTGAAGAAGAGAGACGAGAGAGAGAGAGAGAGAGAGTAAGAGAGAGCAACAGAGAGAAGACGAGAGAATGAGAAACGTAAAGATATGCTCGAGAATTATTCTAGTTTGACCCACAAGGCAATCATAGCGGCCAGCGCATTACTTATTAATTATTAATAAATTCAATATTTGCATTTTATTGCTTCTGGAAACTTGTGACCCCTTTGAATGAGCTTGCGACACTAGCCGTTTTCTACACACGCCTGTACACCGGCCGTAGCTGTGTGTGTGTGGAGGGGGGAGCTGCCCCTTGATTTTCGAGCAAAATTTAAAAAATAGCTTAGCTAATTATCGTATATAACCCTAACGATATTTTTGGTCACTTATCCGTGGAAAGCTTTCGGCTCATCACCACCCTTCACCCTCACCATGACGTCGAAAAGAGCTGCGCCCGTCGCCTCATCATTTACACAGTTGAGTCATAAATTCTCCCCATTAGGAATGCCTCATCACGCCCTGCAGTAGTACACCCTGTACCGATTATAATCTGTCTCGACGAGCGGAAAACGATAGTCATGAGAAAATTTATTTCTCAATATAGCGCGTATAGAGTGAGTATCATTTCGTCCTTCCGCGCAGTGCTGTCAACACATCTTCTCTCTCCCACACACCTACCTAGGAACATTTATGATGATAATTGCTAGGCAAACATAGCAACCGCGGGTTTTTCTTTCCTACACGGCAGATAACCGACACTCGATTTTCTCTTACAGTATCACATTCTTCCTTCACCCCATCCCCGCTCACACCCACCCCGCACTCACACTATATCTCCACCTCACCCGGCCCCACCCTTACATCCTTCTCATCCCTATCCCCATACCCTATCCCACACCCACCCACTCTCACTCCCCGCGCCATTCTTCCCCACCTCACCCCTACCGGCCTCACCCTCACCTATCCACCCTCTACAGCCAACTTCACCCATTCCCCCTCAGCCACTATCCCACCCTCTAGCAGCCACTTCACCCACTCCACCCTCACCTATCCCTACCTCTCCCAGCAACCCTCACCCACTCCACCCTCACCCCTTATATCCCCACCTATCCAGCAACCCTCACCCACCCACTCTACCTATCCCTACCCTCTCAGCCCAACCCTCACCCACTCCACCCTCACCCCTATCCCCCACCCTCTCCCAGCCAACCTCACCCACCACCCTCACCCTACCCCAATACCTTCCAGCAACCCCGCCCGCCCCACCCTCACCTCATCACTGCTGAATATGTAAAGACGGCGCTGCCATATCGCCGCGGGCGTAAACGAATAGCGTGAGGCGATGGGCAAACACTAGCTATCTGGCCTCGAGACAAAATACATCAGCAGCACGGATCATCATAGCCTCTATATACTCCGTATTATGGCGGCTTGGATTAGTGACGGCAGAGCGGCCCTGTGTCAAGACTCGCTAATACGGGACAGCACGAGCTTTATTGCTGTGATCGGACTTCCACTCTTCCTCTTCCGGCCGAATGCCAACACGCGACAGCGCCGCCCAAAGCAAACACACTACTTAGTGTCTAGGCTACTGATGCTACACTTATACCTCTGCCTACCTTATACCTAAATGCCGACTGAATGCTACGCCAGCGAGGTGTTTTTTTTATACAAATACTCAAATCAGAAAACAGAGATTTAGTGATGGATTTCGTTTAATAGCGATCAGCTGTTATATCGCTGGTGACCAGATAACCAACAATGCAGCCATTAGCACGTTTATGCTGCATTCTATAAATATCCGGACCAGCGCTAATAGCCGGTACTAGAGACATCTCGCTATAATAGTACGAACCAGATGAATGCAAATTGTCAGATACTGTTTTGCCGACACATGTATTATTGGTGTTTTCTGCTTACATTTCACGCGCTTGCTAATCCTGCGATTAATAAATTAACCTAATTTAATTGAATTTAATTCGTCGCAGTTGCCCGTCTAAACGACAGAACGTGCCATCTGGGGGCGGTGCCGTGTACATGCTACTACACGTGCATGCTGCATAGTTATAGCAGACTATCAAGAAACGGCGACATTTGATGATGTTAATCTTGTTTGACCTTTTTGCGTCTTTTTGTCAAAACGGTACGGGTATACGCACATGCACCAACAAACACACACACCCAACACAACCACACACACACACCAACACACCACACACAACACACACACACACACACCACACACAGAGAGAGAGAAGAGAGAGAGAGGAGAGAGAGAAGAGGGGGGGGGAGAGAGGAGACGCAGAGAGGAGAGCGAGCAAGAAAAAGAGACACACAGATAGAAAAACAGAGAGAAAGAAACGCAGCAGAGACATAGAGACAGAGAGCGAGGAAGAGAGGATACGAGAGAGAGAGAAGAGCGAAAGAAAAAGACAGTGTGAAGAGATAATAGTGAAAAGAGAGAATAGCATAGATAGATAGATAGATACTAGATAGATAATAGATAGATAGATAGAAGATAGATAGATATATAGATAGATAGATAGATAGATATAGCCATACATAGATAGATAGACTTAGATAGACTAGATAATAGATAGATAGATAGATAGATAGATAGATAGATAAATAGCATAGATAGATATATAGAGGATAATAGCATAGATAAGATAGTAAGAGATAAAAGAGATACATAAATAGAATAAATAGATAGATAGATAGATAGATAATTAGATATGATAGATAGATAGATAGCATAGATAGTAGATAATAGATAATAAGATAATAGATAGATGAATAGATAGATAGATAGATACGATAATAGATAGATAGATATGATAGATGATAGATAGATAATAGATAGATAGATATCATAGATAATAGATAGATAGATAGTAATAGCATAGATAATAGAATAATAGATAGATAGATATGATAGAGTAGATAGATGGTGATAAGATAGATAGATCGATATACATAATATATAATATATAATATATAGTTATATATTATTATATAGAGAGCAGAGAGAGAAGAGAGGAGAGAGAGGGAGAGAGAGAGAGAGAGAGAGGAGAGAGAAGAGATAGATAAAAGAGGATAGCGAGAGAGAGAGAGAGAGAGAGAGAGGAGAAGGATAGAAAAGAGGGGAAGAGAGAATGACCCTCCTCATACACACACACACACACACACCACACATCACACACACACACACACACACACACACACACAGCACATCACACACACACACCACACACACACACAGCGACACACACACACACACACACACACACACACTACACACCACACACACACACACACAGCTGGCAGCCTCACTTGTCCCACTAATGCTTGCTTTGCCATCGCTCATCAGCCATATATTGCGCGCCGCGTCCGAGCCCATAATAGGCCACAGCGCCTGCGCTCATTCTCACCCTAAAAATACAGACAGGGGGGGCTTGCATCCCGCTGACGGCTAAGACGGGGGCAGCATTGCGTTACTACGAGCGTCTTTGCGCGCAGCGACGACTATATATGGAGCGTTTTGGCGCACAACGGAGAGGCGCATGCCCCGTAGGCGGCCATATATACGGGAGCAGCGATCACAGCCAGTGTGTCAGTTCAATTCGCAGCTTCGAGCATTCACGTGTCTGTTGTAGCTTCTGGTGAGTCTGTGTGAATATGCGCGCGTGTGTACGTACGTGTGTATGTTAGAGAGATGTAGAATAGTAGAGCGGCGAAGCGTTTCGGTTCTGTTGTCGACCGTGTGTTTGGTAGAGTATTCTGTAGAGTATTCTGTAGAGTATAGGTATCTATCTATTCATAGACGTTGTCATTTCACAGGATGGAATGAAATACGATGTACTGGTAATATTTAGTATGTAGGCCTAACGACCAGATAAGATATATGAATCGATTTATGGTTTTCTTGAGCGATTCTCAAATACATATATATATATATTTAATTATTTGGCTTCTTATTTTTCAGTTTTCCACCCAACCAGCAAATATGTGCGACGACGATGATGTAGCAGCTCTTGTCGTGGACAATGCTCGATGCAAGCCGGTTTCGCGTGGACGACACCCCCCCCCCCCCCCCCCCCCCCCCCCCCCCCCCCCCCCCCCCACGTCGTACTTCCCCTCATTATCGTCGGAAGACCACGTCACCAGGTATGCAGGCTCTTATATCGTATTATACTAAATTTTGCTGATATTAAAAATAGCGCTAGTAATAGTAACAATAGTATTGTGTTGGGTCTCAAATTGGGTGACCAAATTTGTTTACACCTATGCAGTTCGACGACTTATTTGTGACATACAAAGTTTTAAGATGATTTCATTGCGATATTACATCATAACATGTTGATTCGTGTATGATTTTTATTCACATGTTAGACACTTATGGGCAAACCACTATTTTCAATATTTGTCATGTTTGTATTTCGCAGGGTGTCATGGTTGGTATGGACAGAAGGACAGCTATGTAGAGAGAGAGGCCTCAGAGCAAGAGAGTATCCTCTCTCTGAATGTACCCCATCGAGCACGAATCGTCACCAACTGGGCATGATATGGAAAGATCTTGCCACATCACCTTCTACACGAACGTTGTTGCCCAGGCGAGCACCCAGTTCCTGTTGACTGAGGCCCACTAGCCCAAGGCTAACAGGAAAGATGACACAGTTTGTAAATGCACACATATAATCAGGAGTAATAGGGTCCCTTTAATCTACTCCTATATAATCTATAACTTATATATTAATCTATTAACTATGATCAAAGGTTTCACATACGTCTATTTAATCATTAAGACCGATGAAATGGCGGATTGCTATGATATGATATTATAAAGCTGATGCGCATTATATTTATATATACACTTAGAGCCTTCGGAGCACAGACGTAAATAATATATATATATATATATATATATATATAATATATCATATCCGTGTCATCAACTTGAAATCTCATGTATATGTTACTGTTTTTTCATGATCAGTGTCGAGACTTTCCAACACCCAGCCATGTACGCGCCCATCCAGGCTGTCCTTCTACGTAGCCGCTTCCGGCCTACACGCGTATCGTGACTGGACTCTGGTGATGTGTCAGCTCACCGACCTTACGGATCTACGAGGGTTACGCTGCGTGGCCCCATGCAAGTCATCGTCTGGACTTGCTGTCGCATCTGACCGACTACTGCATCCAAGATCCTTACCGAGCCTGCTAGCAGCTCGTCCCACCACCGTAGTCTACATTAGTAATGTACTTAATAATATATTTTACCGATCAAGGCATCAAATGCTACGGATTCATGTTTAAATTGCAAATCACAGGTAATAATTAATTAATGCATTTCTTTTGCCACCTGCAGCCGAGAGAGAAATCGTGCGTGACGTGAAGGAGAAGCTGTGCTACGTCGCCCTGGACTTCGAGCAGCGAGATGGCCACCGCTGCTGCCTCCTCCTCCGCGGAGAAGAGCTACACTTCCCGACGGACAGTCATCCTACCGATCGGCAACGAGAGGTTCCGTTGCCCAGAGGCCCTCTTCCAGCCATCCTTCTTGGGTAGGCAGCATTACGTTTTGTGAAGGGCAATATCAGTAAATAATGTTTGGTAAATAGCAATTAAATCTAGATCAATATAACAATGGTGTCAGAACAATTACTCGAAGCGGTATGTGCGGATTAAATAGATTGGTTAGATGGGTGAGCAAAATAAACATACAGTGCTGTTATTGGTAATGTTTCTAACCCTCACGTCTCTGCTCGCAGGAATGGAATCCACTGGTATCCACGAGGCTGCCTAACAACTCCATCATGAAGTGCGACATTATACCGTAAGGATCTGCTAACGCAACACCGTCCTTCCGGTGGCACACCATGATTCCAGGTATTTGCCACAGAATGCAGAACGAGATCATCTCCCTTGCCCCAAGCACACATTGAATTAACATCATTGCCCCACCAGAGAGGAAGTACTCCGTATGGATCGGTGGCTCCATCCTGGCTTCCCTGTCCACCTTCCAGCAGATGTGGATCAGCAAGCAGGAGTACGACGAGTCCGGCCCAGCGATTGTGCACCGCAAGTGCTTCTAAGCGCTGTCGCCATCGTCATGATCTTCATCACCTCATCATTCTGCTTCTCGCATGTATATCCAGTCGCATATCAAGCCGTACTGTGCGTCAGCCAAAAAAACGACGCGTTCTGACGGCGCTTGACAGCTTTTAAAATGATCTTGTCGCAAACGTGTAGAGCTGTGTGAATTGCGCGTGATTGCTGGCAGCTTGATCATGCCGCATTTCTCCTGTATATAGCCTGTTAACGAAGTATTATACGCTCGTAGCATACCTGCATTTTGCTTTCGTTCATGGATCCAAATGTAATTTGTTATGTAACTAATATGTTCTCGTAAACTTCAAAATACGCCTCTTCAAGCAACGCATTCATAAATATTTTTGTAATTCAGGTGAAAACTTTTTTTAAACTATAAAATGCAAAAAAAAATATTATATAAATATAAATAAATATATTCTACATTTTTCGTTGTCGATACCTTTTTTTAATGATTTTGATTTGAAAATGTAATGGTATTCTGTTTTCCTCTAACGTTTATAGTCAGTACACCTATTACCTTGCAATCATCTTATATCAAATGTTTTATCTTACCCTACACACAATAACACTGCTATAAACAGTAGAATAATTTTGCTTTTACACAACTCTTGTAACAACATCACAATCACATAGACGCTATTATATTAACACTTCTAATTAAATAGTGAAATACGCACATCACGCGTTTAACGATATTTAAATAGGAGTCTATGCACTGATCTCCTTCGACGGCATGCAAAAGAGTGACATTTGTGCCACATGTAAATTCTGACTATATATGCGCGTCCATGCGTGCGTTCGTGCTAAAATATTACAAAGATATTGAAATCTTCCATTACATTAATTAGACAACATTGTACTGAAAACTATTAATAGTAATAAAAAATACACTTGCATATCATTCACTCAATATCTGTGATCGTTTATATAGAATATGCGCAAATTTAAAGCGTAATAGGAACTCTTGCGCAGGAGAAAAGCTGTACTTTACTAACCTCGAGTTCAGTCATATTTCATGGAAATAATGGCCACTGTGAAATCTCACATTAACGACATGTTTTAGCGATCGAATGTCAGTGAAAAACAAACTCTGCGGTTTTCCAAAATAACGCATTACATTTATTACGCGCGTACAAAATATAAAACGATAAAGTATCGCACTTGCAACAACTAGTTGATTAATTGTAATAGAAAACCTGTGAAAATATCAGCAAACCATTTTCTAGATCGCATATCGTTTAAAGTGCACATATAAGAATCCACGCGCGTGCGCTACGTTACGCAAAATACTGATAAATTTTCGGTAACGTAGGCATGTGGCAAAACATGTACGCATATACAAAACCACTTAGTAGCCGCGTTCACACGTAGCAAGAAATCCGGTATTTAGCGTTCACACGAGGCAAAATGCGCGGTCCAAAAAATACGTACGTACAGATATGTCGAGATTATTCTAGTTTGACCGGACAGAGGCAATCCATAGCGGGCAGCGCATACTATATAATTATTAATAAATCCATATTTGCATTTATTGCTCTGGAAACTTGTGGAAACCCTTTGAATGAGCTTGCGACACTAGCGTTTTCTACACCACGCCTGTACACCGGGCCGTAGCCTGTGTGTGTGTGGGAGGGGGGGAGCTGCCCCTTAGATTTTGGAGCAAAATTTAAAAAATAAGCTTAGCTAATTATCGTAAATAACCCTAACGATATTTTTTTGGTCACTTATCCGTGAAAGCTTTGGCTCAGACCCACCCTCACCTCACCATGGACGTCGAACAAGAGCTGCGCCCGTCGCTCATCATTACACAGTTGAGTCATGAAATTTTGCCCCCACGTTAGGAATTCCTCATCCTACGGCCCTGCAGTAGTACGGCCCTGTACACGATATATCTGTCGTCGGACGAGCGGAAAAACGAAGTGATGAGAAATTTATTTCTCATTAGCGCGTATAGGGAGTGAGTAATCATTCTTCCTTCCGCAGCAGTGGCTTTCAACGATCTTCTCTCTCCCACACACCTACCCTAGGAACATTATGATGTAATTTGTAAGGCAAACATAGCAACCGCGTGTGTTTTTTTCGTACACGGCAGAAACCGACACTCGATTTTTCTCTTCACCGTATCACATCCTTCCTTCACCCCATCCCCGGCTCACCCCACCCCTCACTCACACTATATCTCCACCTCACCCGGCCCACCCTCACCCCTATCCCCACCCTCTCCCAGCCAACCCTCACCCACCCACCCTCACCCATACCCCATACCTTCCCAGCCAACCCCCAGCCCGCCCCACCCTCACCTCACACTGGAAATTAAAGACGGCGTGCCATCGCCTGCGGGTAAACGAAAGCGTAGAGGGATGGGAAACTAGCGAATCTGGCCCTCGAAGACAAAAATAACAGCGAGCGAGCACGGATCATCATAGGCATCTATATACTCCGTATATGGCGGCTTGGATTACGTGACGGCAGAGCCGGGCCCTGGTCAAGGACTAGCTAATAACGGAGACAGCACCGCCAGCTGTCATGTGCTGTGATCGGACTCTCCCTCTGCCTCCTCCGGCCCGAATGCAACACGGCGCAGCGCCGCAAGCAAAAACACTACTTAGTGTCTAGGCTGCTGATGTACACTTATACCTCTGCCTACCTTATACCTAAATGCCGACTGAATGCTACGGCCAGGGGTGTTTTTTTTTTTACAAATACTCAAAACAGAAAACAGAGAATTTAGTGAGTGGATTTCGTTTAATAGCGATCAGCTGTATATCCGCTGGTGAGCAGAACCAACATATTGCAGCATTATGCACGTTTATGTGCATTTCTATAAATATCCGAGACCAGCGCTAATAGCCTGGGTATAGAGAGCATCTCGCTATTAATAGTCGAACAAGATGAATGCAAATTGGTACAGATATGTTTTGCCGACACATGTATTACTTGGTTTTTCTGCTACTATTTCACGCGCTTGTAGATTCCTGGCGATTAATAAATTAACCTAATTAATTGCAATTTAATTCGTCGCAGTTGCCGTCTTAAACGACAGAACGTGCATCTGTGTCGTGCCGGTGTGACATGTACGTTACACGTGCATGTGCATAGTATAGCAGGACTATCCAGAAACGGCGACATTGATGATGTTAATTTGTTGACTCTTTTTGGTCTTTTTGTGTCAAAACGGGTAGGCGGGTGATACGCACATGCACCAACAAACACACACACACACACACACACACACACACACACACACACACACACACACACACACACACACACACACACACACACACACACACAGAGAG